AAAGTTTTATATAATTTTTGGTTTCTAGATTATTATATTTTTGAATCAAGAATTTTTTCCCCAAGATTCCTTCATTTTCTCAACTAAAGCTTCAAGCTACTTACATATAGGCAAAACAAGACAATTTCATCCCAAGTTCAGGTAGCTACTCCTCGTCTTTTCGATGATTCTCTACGACTCATCACCGAATGTACGCCAAATCTAACTCATCTCGCTCTTGACGTCAACCACCTCAGCACCCACATCCTTCAGCGCTACTTCGCAGGTACGCATATTTCTAAACCCCCTAGTTTTTTCCACAGTGATTAAATTTGAATGTAGGTGGCGCCAAATCGCAAGGTTCACGTCTTCGTTCGTTGAAGATCTGCCGTATGAGGATTACCTACAGGGTTTTGTTTGCTATAGCTCGTGGAGCTCGAAATCTTCTGGTAAGACAGTTTTCGTAGTTTTTTTTTTCCAAAGCTAATTATGATAAAACCACTGCAGGATCTCGAAACCTCTCAAATGCTTTCGGTTGACGATCGTTTCCTAGCGATTCTTGGCGATAACTGTAGGCAGTTGAGGTGCATTAATCTTAACGGATGCCGTTGGGTCAGCGATAAGGGCATGGCTGCCCTGGCTAGGTAAGAAACTAGACTAAAAATAAGTCATAGGAAGGAAGCAAACTTGCGTTTAAGGCGTTGTCCCCTACGAGAAGTACGTATTCGAGGCACTGCCTGCACTGATAAATCTATTTACATTCTTGCTCAATTCTGCCCCGATCTCGAGTGGATCTCGTACGCTGACTACTCAGGTGGGAGCTGCAGATATTTCATCATAACATCAAAAGAACCAAATATAACTCAAAAAAGAAGTCATCTTAAATTTTTTGCACAAGTAACCGAATAGGTAATAAGTGAAGGACAGAATATGAAAAAAGAAACTAGTAGACATTAATTCTCCACAATTCTATTGACGGCCACGTTTACGAAACTCAACTTCAAATAAGAAATTCGATGTTTTAGAAAATCTTGACATAGGAAAGAATCTCCCAAAGCGAAGCCAAAGATTCTCTGGACAAAACTCCCATATCAAAAATTAACAGAATTACATATCATTCAATTATTATCTCAATCATCCTTCATGCATTCGACTTATTCATGAATTCAAATATTCATTTTTCAAATTTTTTGAAAACCCATCTTCCCTCAATGCTTGTGAATATCGCGTTCATCAAAAACTTTTTTTCAAAAACAAACCATCAATCGCCAACTTTTTACTCATCTCCTATTTCACATAATAAATCCAAAAAATGACAATTTAATCTTTATCATAGCTCAGACCTGAACATTTCCATATAACGGTTTTCAATCGTTTTTTCTACGATTTCCGCACACTGCTTTCTTGGTCTTTGCAAGTCCACAATGATGGATTATTATTTCAGGTCGACCAAAATTCACCGATAAAGCGCTTCAATTCCTCAGGGATTCATGTATACAAAAAGTCATCTGCTGAACTACGGGACACCTCAACACACACTTGTGAACAA